TGGTAAAATGGGACCATCAATTACAGTAGAAAGAAGTAAAAGTCTCATTTCTTTCAAAAGAAAAAGACCATCAAACATTAGAAAAGAGGGTGAAGTTATGAGAAGAGGCGAATGAGCCCTCCAGTAAGAAAGCAAGCTGCCTTCCTCAGTGTATCACGTGGGCACATGTCTTCCTTAGTTTGGGTTTGCCAATTTCTTCGTCCAGAAGGATCTCCTGACCCTTATTTCTAGCTTCAAACGTGTAGACCAGATCAGCCCCTCCCCACAGTGACCGCAGTGGCTGAGCACTGTTAGTGCCTCGATGCTATCCTGATGACTTGGTCAAGGGAAGAGCCCAAGTCCCAGTGTTAGATTTCACTGAGTCCTTCACAAAAGCCTCACTGTCCCCCAGCCTACTGCTGCCCTGTCCTGCGATTCTCAGCATTTCACCTAGTGCAACCCCCACAACAGGAAGAAGGGAAAAAGAATCACTTTCTTCCCTGGACTTATTTATTTTTTGCCCCAAACCTGATATCCAAATGACAAGCGAAGCTTTCTTCATATTGGGAAAGGTCCTTATGTGATACTTACTTGAAGCCAGTTTGTGATGAAAAATTCCAAGTCTACCCAGTGTTGACCAGGAAGTGGTGTTCTGTGTAAATGACACAAGTTTACTCTTCTCTCCTTTTAGAAAAATAAGCCAGTTCTTCATTCAAATGTAGGGTGTTTTTTAGAACTCCAGAAACTGTCTTTTCCTCTGCATACGTTTGCTTAAACCAAGTGTGTTCTGTGAGTGTGGGGGGTGACCTCTCTAAAAACAAGTCTTCGAGCAGCTTTAGATACTTACAGACCAACAGCCCACACAGAAGACCCAGAGAAATAAGACATTGGAGTCATGAAGCAAAGAGACTGTGGGCAACAAGTGATAGCACAAATGAAGCAGCAAAACTTCCTCCCCGTTGGAGAAGCAGACCAGTCACAGATGGACAGAGGATTACAAGACTGTTGTGTGACAAAGCCACTGCATTCCCACAGGAGCGCCACAGGTCTAAGGCCAGAGGGGATCATTTGTCTTACCCGATGACCCAGACTATGGAATGCAACTAACACATTTTCTGGCTGGCTTCTGGCCAAATCATACCTTCTGCTTTTCTCATGTATACTAGAGCATGCCTTTCACAGGCTGGTTCTAAATCATCAAAGCAGGTGGATACTTGAGTAGTGACTGGTGTGTTCAGTAACATCTTGCATTTCCTCTATGTTTATAAGACAAAAGTAGATTTGGTAGAGTATATCCCCAAACAAATGATGTGGCTTCTCAGTTAGGAAAGTTCTGAATTTGCCGGGGAGTTCCAATGCTATTCGCTTTGCAGTGCTCATTGAGAACTTAGTACTGGCCACTCCATTTGAGAACTTCAAGAACTCTTGTGAAGTCATAGACTCTGGTTTAATCCTGGGGGTGATGTAGTTTTAACACTGAGTAACTGACAGCCAAACAGGAACATGGAAAGGTGGAATTTCATATTGTGAAGTCAGAGTTACCTCAGCCTCTGCAAGTCAAGGAGGAACTAGAGGGCTGGAGAGCTCCTTGTTTCTTGGGGGAGCTCCTATTGACAGAAAATAAAGTCTTTACACAAGCTTTGACCTGTTTCCCAAGGTTGCTCTCAGACAACAGAAATCAAACACACGACAGTTAGTCTCAGTTTACTCCTGTCAGAAACCAAAGAAGTTCTCAAATTCCAAAGGGCTGAGAGCCACCACTGCAGAGGTTACTGATGACACCCTACGTTCACAGATCTGAAGACTTAGTGTGTTAAGTTGGCAATGTTCCTCTCATGAAGCTATAGATTCAATGCTTATTAAAGTTCCACCTTGTTTCTTTGCAAGAATTGATACGCTGATCCTAAAATTCATATGGAAATTCAACGGACCCAGGACAGCCAAACTATCTTGAAAAAGAAGACCAAAGTTGGAAGACTCACACTTCCTAATTTTAAAACTTTCTACAAAGCTATAGCTATCAAAATAGTGTGGTGCTGGCATAAACGTAGACATATATATCAATGAAATAGAATTGAGGGCCTGGAAATAAATGCTGTCACATTTATTTTATGGTCAATTGATTTTTGATAAGGATATCAAGACAATACAGTGGGGCAAAGAATGGTCTTCTTAATAAATGGTGCTGGGACAAGAGGATACTGACATTCAAACGAATGAACTTGGACCCTTCCTCACACCATCTATAAAAATAAACTCAAAATGGACCAAAGACCTGAATGTAAAAACTAAAACTATAAAATGCTTAGGAGACTACATAGGCATAAATCCTTGTGACCTTGGATTAGGCAATGGTTTCTTAGATTTGACACCAAAAGTACGAGTAACTAAATAAAAAAAGATACACTGAACTTTATCAAAATAAAAACTTTTCTGTATCAAAAGACACCATCAAGAAAAAATATCTGCAAATTATATACCTGATAGGGGACACAGAGCTAGAATATATAAAGAAATACTACAGCTCAATAATAAAAAGACAAATAACCCAAGTTAAAAAAATGAGCAAAGTATCTGAATAGACTTTTCTACAAAGAAGATACACAATGACCAATAAACACATAAAAAGATGCTCAACATCATTACTTATTAAGGGAATGTAAATCAAAACTGCAGTGAGATAACATTTCACACTCACTAGGATGGTACAATCAAAAAGACAGATAATAGCAAATGTGATGAGAATACAGAAATCTCATACATTGCTGATAGGAATGTCGAATGGTGAAGCTGCTTTGGAAAATAAGGGTAGCAGTTCTTGAAAAGATTAAATTAGAGTTACCACACAACCTAGTAATTCCACTCCTAAGCATACAGCAAAAGTACATACATTACACAAAAACTTATACAGGGAAGTTCATAGCAGCATTTTTCATAATAGGCAAAAATGGAAACAACCCAAATGTCTATCAATTAGTCAATAAAATGAGGTCTATCCATACAATGGCATATTATTTCAAAGCCAAAAGGAATGAAGTACTGATATATGCTCCAATATGGATGAATCTTAAAAACATATGTTAAGAGAAGGAAGCCAGTTCCAAAATACCATATACTATATGAATTCATACAATATCCAGAATAGGCAAATTAATAGAAACAGAAAGTAGATTAGTGGCTTCCTAGGGTAGGGAGCAGGGAGGGGTGGTTGGTGAGCTGGGGATACAAAGAGAAAGGCTGCTAATAAGTACTCATGGGCTTTTGTCGGGAGGCAGTGAAAATCTTCTAAAACTGATAATGGTGATGGTTGTATTTCTTTGAATATACTAAAAACCATTGAATTGTATACTTCAAATAGGTGAATTCTATGATATGTGACTCTGTTTATCTATCAACCTACCTACCTATCGATAAAGAGGCTCCTAGTTGCCTGTGCTGATCACCAGGGTCCTTCCATATAATTCTCAGAAGCCTGCATCCACGCTGAAGATAAATCTCAGTAGAACTGCCCCCTACCCCGGCACTTCCAAGACCAAGTCTGCGTATGGCAGAAGAATGCAATAGCTAAGACAGCTGGCCACATGGTAGGACAGCATTGGGGTAAATCCTGTTTCAGATGTTTACTGACCCTGGAACTCTGGGTCAAGCCACTTAACTTCTCTTTGCCTCAGCCTTCTCATCTATAAAAAGGAGAAAATAACATTTCCTACCTCACAGGGTTGCTGTGAGCCTGCAGTTAGCACTCAAGAAGCATTCCTTATTATTATTTCCCTAGAGTCTTCTTTGTGTGCATCTTTGCTAACAGGTAAGACCACTCCATAATTTCTCAAACATGACATAGCTGGTATGGAGGCAAAAGATTCACCTCTGAAATATCCATCTTCTGAAAATATGAACCATCAGTGAAGGGGATGCTTGGCTTGCTACCACCAATTTCTCTCTCAGAGGACAAGTTAAAACCCGTTTTGGAGGATATGGAATATGGAAACAGCTCTGCCTTACAAATTCCCCTCTCTTCTCTAAATATATACACAAATATACTCAGATACAAATATAATACACACACACACAAATGACTTCTAATGAGAAGATAATTTTAAAAGAAGATTTTGGTTCATTTATCTTCCTGTCATCCAGTCTCTAGTTTAACAGGACTTCGCTCTAAGTTGGCATGGCAGCAGTCAACACAACATTTCAATCTACCTTCAGAAGAAATGTTCGTCAGCACGTTCAGTTCATTCCTCCTAATGTTTGATAACTTTTCTACTGCACTTCCATTAGTAATTTTTCTTAATAAGTGTTTAAAATTCTATTTTTGGTTTGCTCTGTTTTCTTTGAGTAGGCTTGACTTAATTTATCAAATGGAAGAGGAAGATCCCAATTTGCCTGGGCACTTAGTGCCAGCTCCCAAGCCTACACATCATGAGCAAAAGCATGGTTCTTCTTCAAGGCCACTGTCAGTTTGCTAAAGTTCCATGAAGCCACATAAACAAGGAGAAACTTCCACCTTGTGGTTAGAAAATTTGCACTCTATCATATCATGAATTTTTATGGCTTAAATATTACTATAAAAAAAGTTTAAAAACTTTTATTTCTAGTAATAAATACTTTAGTATTTGTATATTAATCACACTAACATTTAAGAGGTGAACTTAGTTATTTTCTTATGGTGTATTTCGATTATTCTTTTCTCAGTGCTTAAAAATATCACAGAGGTCTTGCTAAACTCTTCACAGCTGTTTACATCTTCCCGCTCTTGCCAGCCTGAATTCTGATAGCTGGACCCTACATGAAGTCACAAGAGAGCTGTCCCCGCATGATTTCCCAAAAAGTCATCCCTGGACTACAGATTAATTAGACCTAGCAGCACTGTGTCTCGGGTGAAAATGTGTCAGTCTACTGGAGACTTTACTGTATTTTTTTTCCTGAAAGGCTGACTTGTGTTTCTCTAAGCAGCAAGGAAGAGTGCCAGGCACATGTTGGTGCGTTTCTCGTTTCAAGTAGCGGTCCTCAGCTCTTACCTGACCATCCTGGGAGGCAGCGGCAGTGGCCCGTGGTGGGGTGGCAGCCATCCGCATGGCTGCAGTCACAGCGCTCGGCACAGTTCAGCCCATACGTGCCATCCTGCGTAGAAGACAGCAGCGAGGGTACATGAACTCCCATGACCGGAGAGGAAAGGGACCCAAGTCAGCCATTCCAGAAGCAGCACCCTCCTCTCCCAAACACCCCCCAACAACATGCATTACGATCACCTCTCCCGTGTCTTGCTGGCCCCCCAAAAAATAGGCTGCAGGAGGTCAGTGTTTTAAAATCCCTTAAACCTAGTTTACATCTAATACAACAGTCAAACATACGAATGGTAAACCAACTATGCCAATATGCTGATGTGCATTTATGCAAACACACATAAATATGCCAAGTAATTAAAAGTATTTCTATCTTATTGTAAGCTACAACTCATAAAAATATTGTCTTTTTTTGTTCCTAGAGATTTTTATGAAATACTTCAGTGTTCCCCTACAAGGCATTCTCTTTTTTCCCACTGAGGTATAACTGATATACAATGTTATATTAGTTTCAGGTGTAAAACATAATCATTTGATATTTGTATATATTGTGAAATAATCACCACAATAAGTCTAGTTAACCTATATCACCATACCTAGTGACAATTTTTTTTCTCTACAAGGCATTCTGTTCCTTAGTAGAGAAGGGAAGACCCTGACCCACATAAAGAAGCCCTATAATTTTTAAAATAACATAGCTTTAATTGAATTAACATCATTTCCATAAATTGTCACTGAGATACAGAACTATAAGGAAAAAGAAAATCTCTTGTCACTTTTCCTAATTAACATCCTCCTTTCCATGATGACATCCAAATAACACCAAGTATTCTGATTCAAGATCCTAAGAGAGGGTTGAGTGTGTTGGCACACCCCCCTCACTCGTCCTCTCCCCAACCTTAATGTTTTCACACGCACATGCACGTTGGTAGTCCAACAGAGATTGAGTCTCTTCACAGACATAATCATCTAGTTTGTGTGAGAGGAATGAAAGCTCTACGTTTACAAGCCCTGTTCTTTCGTGCCAGGTCCTGACAAACTGAGGGAAGGCACCACAAAGCTCCCATACCACCAAGCACTAAGAAAAACAGGGGGTGCAAAATGATCAAGAAGAAGGCACCTAGAGCCAGTCTAAAGCAGGTAGTGGGTGTTAGATGGCATAATCATTTATCTAGTACTTAAAAAATAAAATACTTAAACAAAAGTTAGGCCTCACTAATATGTGGTTGGGCTTATAGGATTTAGCTTTCACAGTATGATCCACTAAATCACCTCTAGCCTTTGCTGATGTACTAATGCATCTAATAATACAGAAAAAAGGACAGGGGGCTGGGGGCTTTGCACTGCCTCTACTCAGGCTGGGAGTGAACAGTGATCTCCAAGCCCATTTCAGAGCACTGGTAATCTGTTCACTGGTGAGGACAGGAAGCAAAGCTAACATAACTGTCCTAGCAGTTCAGAGGGCAGGGAATAGCCCCGGGCGGGGTTGGGGAGGGACGCGCTCTAGCCGGGGAATGGGTTGCACTTAGTGAGGAGGAAGCCCAGGAGAAAAGAGCCCCGTGGAAGGTCCCCCTCAGGGGGTCAGTTCAGGGGGTCACAGTGTCTTCTCACCATCAGCTGATCCCCTGGAGGCTGAGAACACACACCACTGAGAGAACAGCTTGGGGAAGAACTGTGACAGTAATAAAGAGTGATGGAAAAGAGGAAAGGAAACCAGCCATGTACTTGAGAGGAAGAAAATGAAAGGGGCTGTTGCCATGGAACGCACTGCCCTTTGTCGCCCTGTCGGCAGACTCAGACGGGGTTTCTGATGACAAGTATCTCCAAAGCAGGCCAAGGGGATGGAGTCAGCACTGGACCACAGAAATCTCTGGAGATTCGTGTGACTCTTGAGGTATCTGTGTTAAAAGGCAGTTTCCAAACCTTTCACCACCTCAGTGAGAACTTCTGTGACACCATCACCACCCCCCTTTCAATGCCCTGTCACTTTCCACCCCAAAGGCTGGAGGATTTCCATTACAATGGAAACACAGTATTTAGAGAGTTGACAGGCATACACTGGATGTTTGACTGGCTACGGTGAAGAGATGAGTATATTAGAATAGAGAAAACAGAGGGGAGTGTTGGGGGGACCGGGGTGGAGGGAAAGAAAGGGATTCTCACAAAGCTGCCTAACCCGTTTCCACGTCTATCCCTTTGCCTATCTTGTATCCAATCTGAGTTCAAACGCTCATCGCTTCTAATAATCACTATGGTTGGGTTCACACTCAGGCACTTTAAATCAAGAAATCTGCAAAAATAAGCTAACCCTCTGGCATCAGCTCCTCCCAGCCCTCCTCGTTGAGTCATACCTGGCAGGAAAATTCACATTTCTCCCCGCGCCATCCAGGTGCACACGTGCAGGTCCCGTCCAGGGTGTTGCAGGCTCCGCCATTGAGGCACTGACATGTTAAGTTACAGCCAAAGCCCCAGGTGCCACTGGGACAGCTGATGGAGCAGTCCACCCCATGCCAGCCTACCGGGAGAAGAGCACCAGGGCATGTGAGCAAACAGAGGCAGCAGGGAGTTCTGCTGAGCCTTTCCAAGACACACTTCCCTTTAGAAACATCTTGGAGGTGCACAGCAATGCCCTTGCCCCCACAGGGAGCATTAGCTCCGCCACATAAAGCCTCCATCAGAAATGAACTAAAGCACCCACACAGCTGTCAAGGATGCCAACACTAAGAAGCACTACTGGGTACTGAGGGAAGAGAGACGGGGTGGGGGCACCTCTAACACGCAGGGATAAGTACTGGGGGATACTGAGCTTGGTTTAGGTCAGGAAAGCGAAACATTTATACGTGAGGGAGAAGGGAAAGAACCCCATTTAAAGATCCCATTTAAGGCAAGATCCCATTAACCATGAACAGTGAGTATCCAGGAACCATGGACACACACACTCTGGCCCCCACATACAATACGTGCTTGGCTGCATTTCTAGTCAGGACTCCAGGACAATCAATTCAAGACATGGACACACGTCTGCTTGCTTAGTCTTCCCCAAAGTACAGAGACTCACAGACTTTTAGAGCTGGCAGTGACTTCAGAGATTGTCTCACGTGAGCCTCTCCCCTTGACTCACGAAAGCAGGAGAGCCCTCCCTGGATGAGGGGCTTGCTGAGTTCAGGCATGGTATTTCGGCACAGCTGGAGCTGGAAATGTTTCTTTCCTGTGCCTTTTGGAGCTAACATGACCAGGATCAGACAACAGACTCATTCACCCACTCACCTGCCTTGCAAGTACAAGACCCATCCACAGGAGAGCAGATAGCATCATTTTTACAGCGGCAGAGAGAAGAACAGTTTATCCCGTAGGATCCCAGAGGGCAGGGAGTGGAGCAGTCGATTCCCTAGAGAGGCGCAAAGAGGAAAATGTATGCAATTTTACTACCTGAAATAAGGCCAGCACAAATAAACAAAAATATATCTTGGCCATGCTAATTACACTCTCTCTCTAATTTTAACACGTTGTATTTTTAAGAGTTGTTACAATGTCACCACTATACTAATTTTACAGATTCAAGGCCAATGCCAGCTAGTTTATATATAGGATACAGTATTGAATAAGACCCCAAAAAAAGTCTGCTGCCTGCATTAGTTTTGCTTTATAGCAAATCCAAAACCGTTGTCCTTGCTCAGACAACTAGAAAGAAAATAAAAGGTGTAAAATTATTGTCAATAAATAAATATAAGTATGAACTATACATTAAATTGCAACACTTCCTAGACTTCCTTGTATAAGATGTAATGTGATTAGTGGTTGAGGCAAAAGAACAGAATACACTCTGCTAGCAGCATGATTCAATTTATTATCTGACAGTGAGCATAAAACATACAGGTCGGTTACCAAAGGTGAGTGGAGGTTACCTCCTTTAAAAACAGAAGAGGCTCTTAAGACAAGGCTAATTCAGGAGCTCAACCAAGGAGTTGTGACACAGGTTAGAAAACCCCGTAAAGATCTCAGCTCTGAGACTTTATGAACCACTCGCTCTATATTATGTGCTCTGGAATATCCATCAGCATGCCTCGCAGTTTAATGTTCTCTTTAAAACAGGAGAAAATAATTCAAGGACAACCCATTTTCTTTTAAGGCAAAAATTCCTAATTTGTTGCTAAGAAATCCTGGAAACTCGGCAAAGTTCTGCTCTGTTGGCTCACAGGCATACTGGTCAGGTCTAGATTCTCAAAGGGAGTAAAAAACTCACATACTACTAATTCCTGGATGTAAATGCATAATAAATGCTAACTTGATGAAGTAAGTGCCTTCAAGCTGCATGGAATTAAAACAAAAACTGTCAACAGTAATACTTATCCTATTTAGAGAAGCCCATTCTTTGTTGCCTATGAAACACAGTAAATAATTATGTAAGGAATAATTAAAATACATCTAACTCCATGACATATATTAATTAAATAATTAAGTGTTAATGCCACTTGGTAGTTCCACCAGCTTGCCCAGATGTCATTCTCTGGTAACTGCTTATATCTCTTAATATTACTTCTCTACTTTCTTTCTTGTTAATAATGTGATTGATTTTAGCACATTCACTACACTTTAGGAAACGTCATATAAATGGTGGTATTAACATGCTCCAAGTTGCACCCCTTATCTGTTTCCTCCAGAGCCCAAGCCACTCACTTTGAATCCCGGGGCACAGGTGCACTTCCCAGTCACACTGTCACAGTCGGCCCCATTGTGGCAGCTGCAGATCTGTTGACAGGCTTCCCCGTAGAATCCAGGAGAACATGTCTCATTACAGTAGAGTCCCGACCAGCCTGGCTTGCAGGCACACTCTCCGGACATGGGGTGACAGCTGAGAGACGTGGATGAAAGGAGCAAGTCACTCTCTGGTAAATGTGACACCCAAGGCCCCTGAAAATGTTGCTTTAGCCATGATCACTAAATGTGTGGGTAATTCCATGCACGATCATTTAAACTTCATTCCCAGGCTTGGTATGATTTAATTAATCGGCTGAAACCCGACTGGTACCACAGAAATGTTGCATGAAATCAGCATTAGGCTCCAACAGGATGACTCCTACAACTGTGTCCTTTTGTCTAAAACTCATTTTAATTTTTGTAAATTGAGAGCACTAATTCGATAAGAGGTCAACCACATGAGAATATCTAAGAACTCCATCCAATGAACAACACAAAGTCAGTAAACCAGGGTGATGTCCAAGGACCTCCAGAAGCAGTGACCTTTTCTGCTTGTTTGTCTCGGCTCCCCATACCTGGTGGCAGAGCAGCTGTCTCTACCTGAAACAGCAGCCGCATTGATGGGCCAGGCAGCCAGCTGTCGCCCCACAGCAAATGGACACATCAGCTGTGCAAAGAGGCACGCGTTAGCGAGGCTCACACAACAGGGCGCTCTGTGTCATTCAAAACACATGTGCTTCTCGCCAAAGGAAAATCTGAACAATCAAACCAGCCCTGCTCAAAACTGGAAGACTGTTGAAGATGGTCTTTCTCCCCTGATGGAGAGAAAACTCTCCCCTTAACGCGGCCCAACAACAGAAGCCACTGTCTCATCCAGACATTTGCTAAATGACCTCTCATTAGAGGACTGTTCCTAGATTTTCTGCAAAGAACTGTGACCTGGAAGGGATGAAGATTTGGGGATGTAAATTCCAGCTCTCCCACTACCTGGCTACACTTAGTGGAAACACGTGCCCTTCCTGGGCCTGATATCCTCATCTGCTGAGTGAGGGTCTCAGCCAAACCCCATAATCTCATTTCTTAACCCTCATCTTCTTAAAGAAAATGCCTGCGGGTTGGACACTTTGTTACTCATTTTAAGAAATGTATTTAAATATACTTTTAGATCCCTTCTGTAACTAATTACCCACAAGCAAAGGCATAGGCATCTGTCACAAGTATCACTCAGGAAACACCGCAAGAAGAAATACCAAGTACAACTCTACATTCAGGATGGTTTCTTGGGTATAGAAGGTCTGGATTCATAAGACAAGGGTTTGAACCTCAGATCCACTTAGATCTACTCATCTGTTATTTATCCTTGGGTAAAAGACCTGGCATCTCAAACTTAACACACCAAAAACGGAGCCCTAGTTCTTTCTTCATTCCTCATTCAGCATTTCCTTCCAGTTACTTCCCACTGAAGTAATGGTATCACCAGCCACTCAGAGCTTGAAGCTAAAACCTTCACAGTTACTCTTGATAACTCCTTCTCCCTCATGTCCCATACCTCCTTCATCACTAGGACCTCACCATGCTAACTCCAACATGCATCTTGAATCTCTCCACATCTCTTCATCTTCAGTGTCACCATCCTATTCCATGGCAATGTCATCTATCTCAACTCCTGAACAGGCTTCCAACCCTTCTCCCTGCATTCACTCACGTCTCATCACCTAAAAAGTAGATCAGATGGTATAATTTTCCTTAAGTCGCTTCAAAGTCTCTCTTTGAAGCCAACACTTAGAATAAAATCCACACTGCTCAATATAGCTACAGTGAATACAATTTACTGTCTAAAGTAGAACATTTTTAAGAGTGAAGAAGGAGTGACAAATAATTACATTAGGAAAATAGGCCTAAACCAAACAGTTCCTGTGACTCCAGATACATAATGACCCTAAAGATAGCCCATGAGCCTTCATCATTTGGCCACCGCCTACCATCCACCTCTTCTTTCACTGTCATTCTCTCTTTATTGCTATGCTCAACTGATAGTTTTGGGGTTTTGTTTTTGTTTTTTAGTTGGTAAGAGCATTAAGCTTTTTCAATTTAAGGGCTTCACATGGGCAATTCCCTATGCCGAGAATGCCATCTCTCCACTCCTGGCTTAGCTCTCTGCATCTTACTCTTCCAGTCTCCGCTTAAGTATCTCTTCCTTAGCAAGGCCTTCCCTGACCCCTCACATGTCAGATAGATCTCTCCTTCCTCACCTTCATAGCACTCTGCTCATTGCATTTCTCACAGCCTGCAATCTCATGTTTCTTTTGACAGTCCTTTCCCTTTCTTCCCTCCCCACTAGACTTTGAGCTCCAGAAGGACAAGAAGGAAGTCTGTCTTGTTCGCTGGCCCACACAGGCCCACAGTAAACGTGGACTGAGGGAACAAGGGAAAACAGCACAGCTGACACGTGTCGGGGTCTGACTCCGGGGATCGTGCTTCCCCCGGTCTCCCCGCATCTTCCAATAATGTAAAACTGTAACCTGTATATCTGCATACAAAGGCCAGATTTCCCCTAAAATTGGTTTTTAAAATGTCAAAAGTCATGGCTTAAAGGGAATCACCATTAATTGCAGAGAACTCTCACATAAGAACGTTTATGATGACTTTGTCAGGGGATGCCCAGACCAGCAGCTAGCATTCCCAGAGCACTGAGTGTGTGTCAACACCACGCTAAGCCATCCGTGTGTACTATTTCATGTAATGCTCACAAGTGTTTGGTATGGTTCCATCATATAAATGAGGGAACAGAGACCTAGAAAGACCTAGAAAGAGGAAGTAATTTATTCAAAGTCTCACACAGGTAGTGGCAGAATCGAACTCGAACCCAGATTTATTTACTTGTTTTTATACCAAAGAAAAAGGAAGTTTGATAGCAGCCTGCTAGGAGGGCTAGTGTGAAAAAGAATTGCTAGAATTCAGGATTTGGCACAGGTCAAAGGGTTAGCAGAACCAATAAAAGCCTGGATTGTGCAAAAAGCAGGGACAAATTTAATTTAGTAGGCCAGATATATGATAAAAGGAAAAGAAATATTCCAAGTGAAAGATTGGTTAAAGTAGTTTACCTTATACTAAAGGTATACTTAAAAAGGACATCTTTTGGTAGAAAATATTACTTTACATTAAAAAGTAGGAAGTAATATTCATGGTATTAGACATAAATGTTAAATAAAATAGACAATCTGGGGACAGGGAATTGAACTAAGCTAGAGGCAGACAGAGAAATTGATAGTCAATGCCCCCCAGTGGGTATCAGTGCAGCACGCTGGTTCTCAGATTGATTGACACCAAAATTAGTATTCTGCGATTTGTAATTAGATGTAGGAAGCCAAGCACTTTGGAGGCATTTGATGGGTTCTCATGCAGGCAGCTGAATTGATAATGAGATTTACGTGTTGTTGTCAGAGCAGCAGAGTGCAGGTTGAAGGGTAACAGCCTCCTACCTGATTTCTTTCTAAAGAACAGACTTCTCTGTGTAATATGAAAATAAGATTATATACAGATAGGAATACCTACCGTTTTATACACATATATAACTAGATGAAAATATCCTAGTACAGTTTTCAATTTAAGAGTTAAATTATTACAGGAATCCAATATAATATTGGCTACAACAGAATGAGTCACTGAACTTCCTTTTATTCATTTCCTTGAATATTCCTAATGCTAAAATGCAATGTCAATTAGGTGGCTTTTGCAAAGAGGCACATCCTGACTGCCCACAGCTATTAAATGTCCTTCTTAACAAGAGCTAATATACATATCCCATGTGGAATCTTACTGAATCTTGAATTCTGTTTTCCTGCTCAAAATCATTGCCACCAGAAAAGTTAGTTTTCAGTTAAGAAGTCCAGCTCACAGAGTATGTCCTTAGGCGCTATAACAGTGCTATAATTTAAAATACTAATATCAGTTATAAATATATTAAATTCATTTCAATATTATGATAGTTTGCAAAATAAAAATGGCTACAAAAGCTTTATAACTCCTCCCATTAAGAAGTGGAGTATATCAAACCTGGACTTGGTTCTGTGATCTTCTCTGTTTAGAGGGACATTAGAAAACCTGACATAAACAAAGGTTTGAAAAGTGTTTGCATGTTGGGGCTTGTCCTGTCTCTTGCTGCTTTTGGAAGCCAGCGACCATGTACAGAAGCCCAGGCTAACGTGCTAGATGCTGGGGACATATAAATCAGTCACTCTATCACGCAGCCAAATGCTAGACATGTGAGTGAGGAATTTCAGGACCAAGCAGCCTCAAGTCCATCTGCCAGCTGGACATATGAGACCACCAGAAGAACCACCAAGCAGAGCCCAGCCCTAATAGTGGCACAAAATATCATCAGCAAATACATAATTGCTGTTTTAAACCATTATGTTTGTGATATTTTTTTTAATGTGGCAAAACTAACTGATGCAAACCCCTACCCAAATATATGTCTTCAATATATGTCAATATGTACATCCATAGAACTCAAAATTTACCTCAAGTACTATAAACTAATGGTTTGTACTGCATTAGTTACCTCGTTAATTATAACAAAGGATTTTAGAATAAATATATATTATGAATTAAGCAATAGCAGGCTAAGCAACCTACATCTTTCCTGATTAAAGTTTGATTTTCAGTTAATACAAAGATTCTATACTTTTTGCTTCTAAGGAATCTTATGTTTCTAGGAATTTTACATACAAGTTCAAGATATAAAAATAGGTGGATGGCTCCTACTATGAATTCAACTAGACAGAGTCACATAACCAATATTCAACTAGCTTTAATAGAAATTTATAAAAGCAATTTTTAAAAACAGCTTTCATTATTTAGAGAAGCATTTCATAGGCTAATTGCTTTTTAATCTCCTGGTTATGTCATACACATTATTAGATAGATTTTAGTGTTATTTTGATCTATGTGACTATCAAGTAATTTCACGTACTTCTTTGTTAAAACATACATGCTTAGGTACAGGTGACCTATGTCAAATCTATCATAGTATTGCTGTTAATCAAGTAACTGTCCACTTGCACATTGCTACTAACATGGTACCTAATTCCAACAAAGCCAACATTTTCTGTTTCTCCAATTCCTTTCATAGCAGAGATCTTTTGTAAAGGTTTACTAATCTATTTGACTTCAGGCTGTGTCTACATACAATGAAACAACACACTGGCGTTAAAAAGTCCTTAGCTATTACTAATGAGGCTTAACTTTTGCTGGGACAAGACTTATACTACAGGAAAGGTAGCCAAACTCACAACTTGTCTCTAATCCTGCCAGTGCCTTCAACATTGGAGAGTTGAAAAATAAAATCCTGAAAAGATCATTCATTTTTACTCTCCAAGTGTTTGTTTAACCTGTCACATAAAGAGTGGCAATATTTTCCAGTGAAGAAAACCAGAAGTTGACTAAAGTTGCTTACAAAGTTGCTTGAGACAAGTTAAGAATGCACTTAGATATGTCCCACTAAAATATATTTCAGCACACACACACAGTGCAAAGTCAATTTTTTTTTTTTTTTTGCTCCCAAGAACAGTTTAAAGAAGAGACCAACTACAGGCTTCTATTTACTTTTCATTTTTGTTCATTTGAGATTTGATGTGGCCACAAGTTATCTTTCAGACGTATAAACGAAGTAACAGCTGTGCTGAATGCAAATAAAGGTAATTCTGGTAACATCTGAAGTGCTATACAATTCACTGCAATTTTGTCAAACTCAACGCTTCTAGCAGTATGCAAACGAGGCCCAGAATTCTAAGTGACATGTGTCTGGGCCTTAGGGGAGGGAGAGGAAGAAAGAATTGGAAAGATATTTTCAGGGACAGACAAGGTACAGTTAAGTGGGTGGGATCTTGGTTTCCTGTTCTTGCATTCTTTGAGAGGTTTTTGAGCCAAAAGACCCCCGTGAGTTCTATGTCAGAGTAATCAATTCTGAATACATATCTCACATGTGACGACCTCATGTGAAGCACTTCACAAAACTTCCATCGGTATACTTCCTGCCTATACAGATGTCAAGTGAAAAAAAAGCAGCAGCGAGAATCATTTTGTGATATTTTTACATACTAAACTGGGCTTAACCTATGTCTCTCATTGCATCTGTGCTTCATTGGGAATGTCACAGAATCCCTCTCTCAGGGAAACATTCTACTAACCACAACAAGTTTAATTTTTGCCAGTGGCCATAAATAGAGAATAAGATTTAATAGCCATCCACAACCATCTAACAATTTTAGCACTTCTGACTTGGACCATTAAGCGGAAAAGTCTTCCGTTTACTTAGTGGTTGCTGCCCAGGGTGACCCAGAGGCAGGAAGGGTCTCAGGGTGGGAATGACTCTGCCGATCCCATCTTCCAATGTTTCATACTGCGGTGAAACATTTAACAGGATATATTATTCCAGGGGCAGCCAACTCTCACCTCTGAGTGTTGTCCAGGTGGCAGGGACACCGCTTGTCACACTTGATGCCGTAGAGCCCTTCCGGACACAGGCGCGCCTCACAGAGGTCACCAGCAAAGCCTGCTTCACAGAGGCACGAGCCGGTCACGTGGTAACATTTCCCTCCATTGACACACCGGCAGGTCTCAGCACAGCGAACTCCGTATGTGCCAACAGGACACTCATCCTGGCACCTGTCATACAGGAGGCGGGAGCAAAGACAGATTAGTTAGTGCCATGTGAAAATAAACAGTCCATTCAGACATGCTTTGTTATGTGTACACTGAAATCCTGTCCGGGTTTGGTATTTATTTAGTGATCATCCTTTTACGGATATGAAAAGCATTAAGATAAATTACAGTAGTAACAGCTGTATGGCCTGTCCAAAGAAATAGCAAAAACAAAATAAAATCATGAGCTGGGGACAAGAAGCATGTTTTACATCTAGTTCTTGCTAAAGATATACACAGCACTTTAGTAGACACCAGGAAAGGAAGAAAATAAACTGTCCACATGTTACTCTCAACCCATAACTAGGAAATTAAAATGTAGGCTTTCCCTATTTCCAAGAAAACACTCTGTAGCAGATTTGAAACAAAACATTAATTCTCTTGGCTTTCATGTTGACATTCATTTTTAATTTCAGCCATGAGTCTGCTCTTCTCAAAGCTGAGTGGCAATCACTGCTCCTCATTTAGAAAGTTCTGTAACTAATAAAGTCCTCCTTAGATTTGAGAAAACCTCTGCTATTGAAATCAAATGTCCTCAGTTCCAACCTGGGGAACTCCTGCCAGTAGATGGTAGGGAGGCCAGGAGTTCTCCAACACAAAATTTTTGGTAGGTTGGGTTTTGCTATCTGTTGGGAAGAAGGGCTACCAAAGGACAAGGAAAAAAATGTCAGATCTCAAAAATTCAGTTTAATAGCTTTCAAAAAATGGCATTAGAGTGCAGTCCTGATGGAAGGATATATGCTCTGGGTGAGCTGACTCTGGCAGGGAAGCTGAGTTGCTGGAGGGAACGATGATAACGAGAAAATCATCACTATCGCTCCCTGGAACGTGTGACTTAGCTCTCAGACCAGCCAAGCTTCTTTTTGACCAGCAAGGTGACTCGATTGGGCTTTCTGTAGCAGAAGGAGCACGTTCTGGCAAGGAAGAGGGAACCAGGGTCTCACAGCCAGAGTGCTGCTACAAGCGGGGAACACTTTCTGAGTCTCAGCCACCACTACCCATGTGGCTCTCAAGTCCCGCCAGACCCGGAGTCCAAAATGTAGGTCAGCACTGCAGTTTTTCAGATGGGTACAATGCAAGCGGCAAGTGCATGATAATGAATGCCAGCAGACTTCAAAGCAACAGGGAAAGGGCTGCAAAGCAAACATTTTCCACAAGGCTTTGCATATTTTTAATGATAGGGTGTGATGACTAACAATACCAGGGCTGGATGGGATTCTATTTCAGTGCAGAGGAGAAATCTTGAGAACCTTTTGGTATTTTTCTGGTTAACTCTGGCTCTGGCACAGATTTAAGGAAAAGGGTTTCTTGCAAATTTGGTTCCACAGACTCTAGACATCTTTAGGTTTGCAGATATGCAAAGACTTCAAATCAACCACTCAATAAAGCATCAGAAAAGTGCTGGAGTGATTGAACTAAGTTCATTTAGCATAAAATCAGACATGTGCTGTAAAGTTACATGTGAGTATACCTATTTTTAGACCAGAGTATTTTTAACAGGTACTCTATTTTTAAGGTGTAAGAAGCCTTAAGAGGCCAAGTCACTTAGTTTACTCCTTAAAGATGTAAACCTTAGAGGAAGAAATGCTGTAGTACAATAACTGCGCCTCCTCGTGGCCCTGCTGAAGGCTGGCACAACGACTTTGCAACCTGTCTGTCGAGAGGTTCTTGCAAGTCAGTAACAGAAAAAAAGGAAAAGACACACTCAAGGTAAATAACGTCACTAAAACAAACCCAAATATTAAGCTCTGGGTTCCAGGGTTCTAACTTAGTCAAAAACATAGCTCTAAAAGTGGGTGAACAGAGTAGAAATGGGAAGCCGGGAAAAGGGTCGGCCCCCAAATGACAGGGCAGCAGTGTGTGCATTCTAGTCTATCTTGGCAGAGACTTCCTCTTCTCCAAGAAAACAAAATCCATAATAACTGGTCCTGACCCAAATTTACCTTTCCAACCCATGATTAAACATACTACTAAGTTTGTATTTTCAATGGCAAAAAGCCATTTGAACTTTATTTACTAAAGGAGCCAGTAAAGCTTGGCTCGTATCTCCGCTTTTTTGGTCAATGTTGCACTTGTAAGAGAATCCTGTTAATAACAGTCATGTCTCTTTCTACCTACCACACCAAAATAGTAGGGCACCTTTCCAGAAGCAAACGTTTTCCATCCTGAAAATAAACGCAATCGCGAAGTGGCTTACACCAATCTGACTGGCTGAATTAAAAGTGTTTGTCAAACACATCACTGTATATAAAACATAACAAGGACCTACTGTATAGCAAAGGGAACTACAGTCAATTTCTTATAATACTGTATAATGGAAAAGAATCTGAAAAGAAATATGTATGTATGTATGTATATGTATTACTGAATCACTTTGCTGTACACCTGGAACTAACATTGTAAATCAACTACACTTCAATAAAAAGTTAAAAACAAAAACAAAGAAAGAAAACAAAAATACAGACAAAAAAGCCTTTGTCAAGCAGTCTTATCTCTCTTTTTGGCTCCTTTTTCTGAAAGAAGCATCATTCCCAACAAATTGTATGCCCTTAATGTGGCTTCGGGGTCTCACATGGAGTAAGAAAAGCTATCTTAGAAATGACTAAAAGAGGAAATATTTTCTTAGGAGAGATGGCAGGGAGGTAGATAAAAATATAGCAATAAATATTAGCCATAGTAAAAATATGAAAAATTTGAAGTTTCTATTTTATTTTTTTAGATTTTGAATACCACCCTGGAACCAGAAAAAAAGGACAAGCATTAAGTAGAGATAAACCAATAAAACATGACACCAATACCCAAACCAATGAGAGTCACAGGTTTGTCTGAATATCATTTCAATTATTATACTGCATCTCACTGTGAACTTCCGGAAAAGAAAGTGAGTCAGCATCTAAGGGGTGCCAGCTCCCTCTGTCTCCTTTGTCCTTTTGAGCATGGCCCTCCCCAGAGCGACTGGAATAACTGGGCAAAACCATGATTTAGTGTGAAAGAATCACATTCTTCATTAAACCTGGATCCATGGATTGACGGCCTGCCTTTCAAACATCTGGAACTGCTGCTCCGGGGGAACAGAAAGAGCACTGGGCAAAAGCCAGCCTCTCCACAGACCCAGAATCAGGAAAGAGTTCCTCTATGAAGACCAGTTCTGCACCCCTCCCATTCCTGCCTGTAATTTCCGACCATACCTCCCTTTGCCCACAGTCTTCTTCACTTTCGAGGTGGTACAGAACACAGGCGTGCCAGGACAGCCTCGAGCTCCACCTTCAGAGTCCAGAATTGATCCGGGGATGCCCTCCACCCAGCTAACACAGGAGGAGCACCACTTAGGGACAGGACGCATGAGAGACTGTCAAAGGCCCCCGCTCGGCGATGCCAGGACAGCCCACTAGCATCAAGAACACTCTTCTAACCCCTTCAGAAGAATCTGTGTGAGGAAATGAGGACCACGTTCTCTTCACTCTTACTCGGCTGTGTGGCATTGCATTTCCTCGGCACACCATCCTCTCAGCCTCCCCACAAACCACAGGCTATTCTGTGGGCTTCCATGGGCAGCTCTGCCTGCCCACAAGGTGCCCGTTCCCTTGGTTCTGTTTTCTCTCTGGCTGGGAGGGCCATCCCCACATCCTGGGAGTGCTTTGGGGCAGCTGCCTGTGGTGGTACCTGCTCCTGTCTGGCCTGACCTCAATGATCAAGTTACGCTGACTTCTCAAAACAGGGGAGACACAAGACCCCAGACCCTCGGGCTGCTTTCCCCACATCTCCTGCCACAAACTGTCCCATAGCCACTCGCGGTTTCTCTTTCAGGGTGACAAATGTGCTTGCTGTCATTGTGTGTGTGTTAACTCTAGAACCCAGACGGTGAGAGCATAATTGAAAACAGGAATCATGTCTTCAGTTCATAAGAAAAACAACAGTTACAAACACAACTCAAGAAGCAAGTTCCCTGTTGCCTTTCTTTCTCTTTCTCTGGCTCTTTGCCTGCCTTGCCTTAAATCCAAAATTCACCTGAAAATTAGCTGTTGTTCCCTTTCCCTGTATTCTAAATAAGATGAGCATAAGCCTGCCTGGCATGTTTGTTGATTTTGTTTTGCCTTGACTTTGAGACTTAAATCCCTACATGGCAGGAAAACAATTACATTTAAATTTTTAGTGTCCAAAAATATTACACAAAATCATTATTTAGGATTCTACCTGGTCCCTGCTCTCCTTTCCTGACTCATCTTTCTATAATAAGACCTGAATGTCACACGGATCCAGAATTCATCTAACAACGTTGTCTATCCAAAATACAACCAGAAACTAGGATAGGATTAGTCACAAAAACTGAGTAGCCCAATTACATGCTATAAAAATTATGCGCCAAAGGTGTCAGTAATCCATAAAACACAAAATAAAGGAAAAATATGTAATTATATTTTAAAAACATGAAAAAGCCTTTAATGAAATTAAACAGATACTATTGCAACAAAAATTCCTAATAAAATAAAAATTAAGAAAAAACTACTCAAACCTGGAAAAGACAGTTCACTAAAAATCAGTAACAAACATGAAACTATACTGAAGCCATGTTTAGTAAAATCAGGAACAAGGCAAGAATCCCCACTTTTACCCCCATCTTTTGACATTCACTTAGAGGTTTAAATTAATGCTATAATTCAAGAAAACAAAATAATCATTAAAATATTGAAAACAGACTAACATCTTTATTTGGAGATGAAATAATCTTAGTGTTTGCTAAAAATAACATGAGAATTAACTAAGAAGCTTGGTAGAGTTAATAAATAAAAAAATAAATATTCAAAGGCAAGGTTTTCTTTATCCAGAAATATCCAATTAAAAACTTCAGTGGGATTTTTTCAAAACTTACAAAATAGGTAGAAATAAATTTAACAAGATGTTGCACAGTCTAAGGAGGGGGGAAAATCATCCTATAGTATCTTATTAAAAGTCATAAAATTAGAGCAGAACTTTAGGAAGAAAAAAAATTAGAGAGGAAAGTTAAAGGAATTCATAATTCACAGATACCACCAAACATTAATGACAGCTAAGATTTATACAGTTCTTAGACATCACTCAAATTAATAAGTGCTAGTATTTATACAATTCATAGAAATTGCTCAACTATAACAACAGCTAATGACACATGTTAAGTGTCAGCACTGTTCTAAATGCTCTAATGTATTCATTTAATCCTTATAACAATCCTACAGGAAAGTACAATTTATTACTTGAACAGTACAGATGAGGATGTTTCTAAGGAGTCAGATTCTAAGATCTTTGTTTTTGGCCATTATATTCTTCTCCCTAAGCCTCTTTTCTCTGTATTTACGCACACATCCAGCAAGCTTGGTTATCTAGTCTTCCAAGACATAATGGATTAAAGAGAAAATTGGAAACCACAGGGTAAGCAAAGCACTCTAGGTAACACTTTACCACCTAACACAATAAAAGGACAAGCAGTGGGGGGAAGGACCACATGAGCATCACATGGGGCCAGTAAGAACCACTGGATCTTACTTACTCTGTCACCACAGCACAATGAAACAACTGATGTCCTTAGAGAATACAGCATTGTAAGCAGGTAACTGTATGCCTGACATACTTTTTAATGATACCTAAGTACACATCCCATTTTAAAATAAAACTATCCAAAAATCTTTAAAATGTGAAAAATTGTGGTCCTTGAAGTGGCTCTCCTAAACACCTAACTGTATAGGACGCATCCAGCATGGGTTCTGATATTTTACTATTTTTCTAAAATGCGTTCTCTGTACCTTCAACTCACCATCAGTCTGATTCAGTTTCTACGCACTGCGTTGGGAAAGAATCTGTCAAACACACACATAGATGCTTCTGAAGTATTATAGAGTAGTCACAGATGCATGGTAGTGAACATGTTCCCTAGACTCTCCAAGTTTTCCTTTCCCACCATGCCAAACAGTCACAGAGAAACATGAGGCTGTCCCTTACCGTTCCCCAGTGTATCCCGGACTGCAGTGACACTGGCCTGTGGCGGCATCACACGTCCCTCCATTATGGCACTGACACTCTTGCGAACAGTTCTTTCCAAAGCGACCCTCAGGGCAAGGCTGACCACACACCGTGCCCTGCATTCAAAGAGACTTGAAAAATTAGATGGGCTTCTAGCCAAGGAAGGGCCAGAGGAGAAGGGAGAAAAGACAAGAAACAGAAGGGGAAGAGGAATCTGGCAACAGGGCTGCAAGAAAATCAGACAAAGGAGATTTTAAGAACACATAAATTCTGCTCATCATCTCAGAAATGTTAGAAGTTTTAAAATGACTTGCTTGCTTAGTGAGCCTAAGTCTCAAGATACAGTCAAAGGTGGCAGAAGAACAATCTTAAGAAATACCCATATTAAAAAAATTAAGTTACATTAAATTATTATGGCAATCTAAGGAATCTGCAAACCCTCAAGGGTTCTTCCTTGCGCCTTGCATGTACAGTAAGTCAACAGTACTTATTGAGCATCCATTCCATAAATGACAACATCTGGCACAAATGGAATATCCAAATGCTTTACCATATGTTCCAGAGAAAATACACATTATCATTGGCTTTATTTCTTATAATGAAGCGTAAGAAAGGATTGGAATTTTGTGTACCTGAAGTAACAATAACACTGCCTAAGAAATACTTCAACAGAAATGAACCTAGACATTTTATTTCAGGAGAAAAAAAATGCTTTTATTTTCAGCAGGTTCAACAAACACTGCTGGGCCAAGATCAATAGGAAAGCTTATTTCCTGGGGAGTAAAATCAAGAGAGTAACTTGGACACGTCTCCTCACCCTAGAGGCTGTCCATCTTGTCAGACACTGTCATGCTGATTCCAGTCCTACGTGGAGAAGAGTCAGATACTGCACCAGTAAGTCAATGAAACACTTGAGTATTTTCTACTTCACTTGGCTGTGTAACTTGGGCTTGTGGCTTATCATGTATTTATTGGAGTTACTGTTAAAGCAAACAATGTATTTCAAATAATGGAGGTTTTTACAGCGTTTTTAACTGCTGGAAGCTGTTCCTTTGTCTTCCTTCTCTATAAAAAAGACAGACTGTGGGCACTCTGAAATTGGAGGCTACTGAACACCAGATGGTTTGTGAATGTTTATTCTGGATAGCATGAGGAAATACATTTCCTCTGACTCCTGGCTACCCACAAAGGCAGTTGGTGTGCTAATTAAGTCTCCTCTGATGGTTTCTAGCTATCTACCAACAAGGAAAGTTCTTCCAAAATCTTGGAACTGAAAAAAAACTTTGAGAGATGATTCAAATCAATGTTTCACTGAGAATCAGCTATGTGCCAGGCGTAGTGCTAAGGTCTGAAAATCAAAGATAAAGTCACAATCCTTAATTAGCTCACAATGTGGTGAGGAGGACAGATGTTACAATAGGCCTGATGCCTCCATTCCAGCACAACATATTAACATGACTGAAGGAATAAGAAGGCAGGGGTCAGTCTGTGGAAAACAGTAGCTCTGGTAAAAATTCTTACTGTTTCAGGGACTAACCACTCACATTTTGCAATGGTCCCACATAAGCTTCAGAGATGCTGTGGAAATACTCTTTGCAAATAAGGATTAATGTGAGAAAACAGCTTTAAGTAGGACATTATTTCTAACTGAAATACATATGTGTGTGTATGTGTAAGGGGAAAATATATTCATCTTTGAAAAGCACCTGGGATGGGATGATAGCACAGGTGAAACATTGTGGAGAAAGGTGTAAGCTGGAAGCTCAGCTCCACATAGAGAAAAATGATCAGAAAACCTTTAGTAAGAAATGTCTATCAAGATAGGGGGCCCAGAGTACAGAGGAGGCTCCACTGTGCTGGTCAGGATGGCCATCTGCCTCCCTGGTGGGACTCACGGTCCAAGCCTATGGTTACCACTCCCATATCATGACCACCTCACCCAAGAAGAAGAAGAAAGCTTCGATTTCATGACGAGACAACTCTACAGACCATGTGTACACAAAAGTCCTAGGAGTAACGTGCACACAGCTCCTCATCCAAAGAACATGTAGCTATCTGAAAACTCTGCTACCCCAGCAAAATCCCTCCCTCACCAAGGACCAAGCAATGACCAGTACTGGCAAAAGGCTGAATATACGAAACAAAAGCAGAGAAGGAGTCAAAGATAATTCAGCATTTCTACTTTAGGCAACTCAGAGAGAAGTGATGGTTTTAACCAAGATAGAAAAGATAGAAGAGGAATAGCCTTAGGAAAAGCTTAGGTGTATGACAGATTTGGTTTTATTAACACGGATTTTGATGGGCTTGCTTCTGGCTCAGTTCTTCAACAGCTCCCTTGTTCAGCTCCTCCTCAGGCACTCAATAAAAGGCCCTCTGGCACTGATGCCATCGCTTCATGGAGTTTCTCCAGGCTCTGCCTCCAGAATCAGACCTTGTCTCGCCTGCTTGCCATTCCCAGCTCTCACCTTGGGTCTGATATTTCTTTTCTACTTGTCCCAGGGTCTTAACATCCTGAACTCTCCCTGACGTCCCATGATTCTCACTGGGAAGTGAACTCCAGCTCTCCTCTGATCCACGCCTACACCGAGGGTAATGCCAGACCAGTACCGTCCCAGGTTTGGCTCCTAAGGCTCCAGCCTGGGTAGAGTTCAGACAGATGGGGGCTTCGTGTCTATAGGGAATCTAGGTGGGGTGTCTAACAGCAAACTGAAAATACACATCTGTGCTCAGGGGAGGTAAAGTCAAGATTTGGGAGAATCAGCAGATGACTGTTAAAGCCATGGATCTTAACGAGATTTCCAGAAAAGACTTATAGTGAGAAAAGAAAAAGGCAAGATGGAAACCTAGGACATACTGTAGTAGAGAGGTAAAAGATGAGGGATTAGGAACAGAAATCTTTATTTAGTAAGAAAGATAGGAGGAGAGGTTATAAAAGAAGTGAAAGGAAGGGGAGAAAATAGCTCAAGTGTTAGAGTACACGCTTAGCATGCACAAGGTTCTGGGTTCAATTCCCAGTACCTTCTCTAAAAATAAATAAATAAACCTAATTACTTCCCACCGTCTCCAAAAAAATAGTAATAATATACTTTAAAACCTTTTTTAAAAGAAGTGGAGGGAAAAGAGATTAGGAAGGGAAAATGGGATGAGCAACAACATAAAACGCTTTGGAGAAGTGAAACGGAATGAAGATTGAGGACTTGTCACTGGAGGTGGCACTTAAGTCACTTGTAGTCACAGTTTCACCACAGTCCCTGGAGATGGAAGGTGACCATGAAGTAAATTGCTCTTTTATTTGCTGTATGTTAATAAAGAAACAGACATTGGTCAATCACTCTTCCACCTTCAAGCGGATTCCTGCACAAACCAACTCAGAGAGATATGAACCAGTATTATTTCCCGATTTCAGAGAAATCCACTCAGTAAACCACTTCTGACATTGTGTATTCCACAGAATATTACGCCTGTGAGACACTACATAGAGAAAGAGCATCAGGGTCAAAGTTCGGCAAGTGTGCTGAGTAATAGCTTCCTCTTAGATGATCATACTAAAGACTGAGAAGTTCTGCAATACCTGGAAAACTTCTTTTACCTCAGCGTGTCTCCAGACTTATAGGACCAGATAACTTTGACACATAACCTGTTGAGAAAAATATTCTCAAAGAATAAGAGTGACCCATAGAACATAATTATGAAAATGATTATTTAAGTACTTGAATACTTGCAGTGTTTAACAGCTTTCGCTGTCATGTTTAAGATGAGATATTTCCCTTTTAGATCTTGCGGGGAAATGCAGGATAGATGTCCTACTATCTTTTCCATGAGGACCCTTAGTACACTTCAAGTGCAGGATTAATCACCTTCTGCCTTCATAGAACTGAAAAACTTCAGCTTAGATATGGTCGGGCACTTCCAATTTTGGAATCTTTAAAGATTAGTGGGATTTTCTTTTGTGCTGAAGTCTTCCACATGCATTTTCACTTGAGAATCCTGGAACAGGTGACTTTGAGTGGGGAGAGGGGCACTTACCAGCCATCCAGAAGGACAAGAGCATTCTCCAGTGACGTGATGACATATGCCGCCATTTTGGCAGGGACATCTCTGCTCACACTGTGGCCCGTGCTTACCAGGGGGACAGAGATCCTCACAGCTGAGGAATTAATATGGGACACCATGATTTACCCAACCACATAACCCGTAGGTTCACAAACACAACAGCACCCAGGGCCCTAAAATAGATAAGCTTTCTCTGTCTTACATGGTTTATTTCATTGACATCAAGAGCATCAATTATGTTGGCTGGAAGGGTCTTTGAGGGGTCACCTAGTCCTGGTCTTTGCTTGGGGATATTTTCTAATGAAACTGTTTCCATTTGAGAACCTGTCCTATCAGCGAGCACCAAGGATAACTCTTGCTGGCCACTCACTCCTTGGTGACAGGAATTTTCCACAGAACTTTTATAAAGCCCATGTGTTACACTGGAAGTCTGTTTTGTGTGTTTGTTCTAACCTCAAAGGAGACAAATATCTACACATCACCCACTGAGTGTACATACCCTTCAGAATCAATTTTCAGAGTTCCCTTCTTCAGAATGACAAACCCTCCATATTGCATGAACAAACCTTGTTCTCTAAGCCTCTAATTGTCTTTTTTTACTCTCCTGTGAAATTGTTCCAAGTTTCCCAAAAACCTTAACTGCGGCCTTAATAAAAACTCATAAGAGCAATATTAACAATTAAACAATCTGAGATGATCATCCATTCTTCTGGAAATCAGAAGGCTTTAGAGGCTAATGCAATTTTTACTTCAGCTCTACTTTACAGCCCTAACACTGTCAGCAGGAAGTATTTACCTAATCAGCCACATTTTTTCAACTTCTAGCTCTGTGATTTACAAGTGTAATTTTCCCAGTAAGGGAACAAGAATTTTTTTTATCTCCTACTTTTTTGGCAAATTCCACCTCTAACTCTGTTTGCAAATACAAGCAAACCAAAGAATGTCCTTCCCACAAAGTAAAGGAGGTTGTTGAGATTGAGTAGTTGCTTCAGTGTTCTCCAGAAAGAATTAAATTGTGTGCACATCCTACACAGATGTGACACATGTACTTTTATATTCATGAAGCAACATATGTATTTTTGGGCATTAAATAATCCAGCTAACCTTTGATCATGGACTATTTCTAACGTCTTTCACCTTTCCTCTTTTCCAAGGCACTGAACCCATCAGCTGTATCCAGCTAATTAACCACCACACAGAGCAGAATAACATGGACCATTAACAGCCAGAATGCAATTGAGGGAAAATCACAGCAGAACCCAAATCTGCCCCCAAACTCCAAATACTGCTATTCAACACAACATCCTGGCCCTCTCTGTCTTTGCTCTGCCAAAAGGAAGGCATCAGAGCTGGTCCTTAGATTCTGGCTGGGCTCTGATGTTCAACGGCCAAAAAGCAAGAGCACCTAGTGGCCATCAGTGCTCATCTCACATCTGTGCCTGCAGTCCTGTCCCCTCAGTAACCCTTCAGGCAGCAAGAGAAACAAAAGCACAGGAATATGACGCCAGCAGCAGCAGAATGGAGAGGGTAAGTTGGCTTTGTCACAATGCTCAGCGGCGCGTCACTTACAAAGCTCCAGTGTATCCCGGTGGGCAGCGGCACTCGCCGGTGACGTGATCACAGGTAGCTCCGTTCTGGCACTGGCATCTCTGGTGACAGTCGTTACCATAGGTGCCCTGCTCACAGCGCTCCTCACAGCGCCAGCCCCGGAAGCCCGCAGCGCAGTGGCAAGCCCCTGTGATGGGGTTGCACAGAGCCCTGTTTTTGCACTGGCACCGGCTGCTGCAGTGAGGCCCCCAGTGATCGCCGTCGCAGGCTAAGGTTAGGGAAAGAAACAGTGGGAGGCGTCAGAGTACGGGTGTGGGTAATGGCAAGCTCTTCAGAACAAGCTTTCCTCTCCCCATGGAGAGAGCAGCTTGATGACCTCTTCATCACCATTCCTTTGCAGAGCATCAGGGCTCCAGCACCAACCCTTGGCAGTACTTCACTGGTACTGGCAGTGGGCCACTTCCTATCACTCCACTGCTCAAGCATGGCTACACTGTTCACCCCCATGCCTTTGCTCTGCTCATTCCCTGCACCTGGAGTGCTGAGTTTGATGTGGCCAGAATCATTAGCTAGTGGACGGTGTGAGTGGTTGTGGGAGCGAGGAGGCTGGCTGGGCAGGTGGGAATGGTCAGCTTATGCAGGGGCTTTTATGCACACTAAGCAGTTTGGATTGCATCTTGTAGACAAGGGATCAATAGTAAAGGATTTTAAGCAATGAAGGGCAATGAAGATTTGCCTTCTAGTAAGATCAACTAGCTACAGGATGAGGAAAGGGCAGGAAAGAGCTGATGATGAGGGACAGGAGACTGGGCAAGGCGTGTGGCAGTAGTTCTGGAGACCAGTGAGGGGGTCTAACCTCAGGAAGTGATCAGAGAGATGGAGAAGCGACCCAAAGGCAGTCCACTGAGGAGTGGACTGGCCCAGATACAGGTCTGGGCCGAGCTCTTGAAACAAAACTGCTGATCTGCTTTCAAGATATCAATCAAAATACATGTGATTGGCAGTAGGAAACAAACTTATGGTTATCAAACAGGAAAAGGTGGGGGGGATAAATTAGGAGTTTGGGATTAACAAATACACACTGCTACATATAAAACAGAGAAACAACAAGGACCTACTGTATAGCACAGGGAACTATTCAATATCTTGTAATAACCTATAATGGAAAGTAATCTGAAAACCAATATATACATATAATATACATATAACTGAATCACTTTTCTATCCACCTGAAACTAACAGAACATTGTAAATCAACTATACTTCAATTATTTTTTTTTAAAAAAAGCATGATTGGGAGGTAATCAGAAAAGGCAGAAAAAAATTGACTAAAATGTTTAAATTCACTGACTTATTTTTAAAATACAACAAACCAGAAATTGAAAATGAACAGCAAATAAAAAAATAAGAAGTATATGGAACCAGGTAAGATGAAGGCAGAGAACAGCCTTTGAAAGACAGATTTAAAAGTGCAGTTCCAAAGAAAAGGAAGAATGGCTGTGATTCAAGTCAATGAGCAGGAAAAAAGGAGTAGGGAAGGAAAAAAACCTCAATCCCAAACATTCTAAAATTTATTAAGGGTGACAATAAGCAAAGCCTACTCTTAATATGCATTGCCTAGCCAGCCGTGCATTTACTAATTAGATGCTATAAAAATCACTAGGGCAGATGCACCCTGCCTAGAGCTCTTAGGATAAATTGCTTTTATGATAAAAAAAAAGTTTCATTTCATAAAAATTTTGTAACTTCAACAGATCTGGAATAAACTATTGAAAAAAGCAACACTAGGCACACAGCAAACCACTTATTAGACCTGCAGGATTCATTTTCCAATATTAGGACCTACCTTCCATTTCTTAATATCAGAAGTTTTAAATGTATAATTCTGTTTTTAATCAGTATGGCTTTGGTCTCATTAGTACTTTAATAAACATACTTTAATATAATTAAAAGCAATGAGAGAGAATTATTGAACCTAAAGCAGAACAAGAAAGTAATTACCTAAGAATTCACAATCTCCTTCCACAAAATAAGATTAGGTGGTAGTTCCAAGATGAGATTTAAGCCTAAAAATTGTTATTCATATGAATTGTTTCTTTTATTGACTATGGATATGGACAAAGTTTTTTTTTTTCAATTTTAATTCTTTCAGTTTAGGATCTATTCTTAAAAAAAAAATTACTTAGTATGTTTCTTAAAGCTCTCTCAGCTACTCCAGTGGAGAAGAATCTATCCTGTTTTTAAGGTCTCCCAAAGTAAATTACATAGTCCTTTGTAACTTGTTCCCTGTTCCATCAATTCTAAGAGTAAGGAAAGTCTTCCCATAGAAGCCAATTATCCTATAATTTGATTCTTTTTCCTCCGTCCCCCTCACAAAATAGTCAATTCTGTGCAGCACTGTTCTCTATATTATAAATGATCCTGTTCCTGAAATGTGAATACAACAAAGCTGCTCTTTGCCATACTAAATAGTAAACCTCAATACTTTTACAATATTTTTTTAAGTTTATTAAATTTCACTCATTTTCTTTGCTGAGCCGTCTCCAAAATTTACATATCCTTCCCAACTTCTAGGAGCCTCAGGTATTAAGTTAAATATCCATTTTTACTTAAGTATAATGAGGGATTAAATGACTGACACACACAAAAACAATGCAGCTAATATAATCACCTTGATAAGGACATCAAGGTCAGGTCAAAACATTTAAAAAAAAAATTCTGATGGGTTAGAGCTCTTCTCCCTCACTATGAGACTGGGATAAGAGTGGGCTGGAACACATACGTTTTACAGAGTGTATTTCACAACGACAGGAGAGCAGCAGGACAAAGTCAAGAACAAAGTCAAGAACTGGCCTCTCCTTTATAACCCATTTATTTCCACATCCCATTCAACAGCTTCTCCCCCAGCAGAGAAGTCAGGTGGAGACCAATTCTATTTTCTTGGGATTAAATAAAAACACAAACAAAAACCCTTAAGATATCTCCTTATGGTAGAAACAAGTTTATAGCAGACATAGATAACTATCAGCATTAAAGAAAGGGTTTCAGGCTTTTAAAGAAATATTATCGCGCCGACATGGTTAATTTCCTGGCTATATCTAAGCACTGTGGCATGCTTTGAAGTGACAGCTTCTCCCTTTGGGGTTGCATTTCCCTAAAAGGCCACTGATACATGGGCCTCACGATGCGAATACTAGGCACCAACATGGACTATACTGGGAGGAAAAACAACACACAGAAATCTACAGACAAATAGACAGGAAGTAGAACAAGTAAGATACAGAAGCCTGGCTTGAATTTAGGCGTCACTGTAACTTCCTTTCCTTTCTTCATTTATCATATTTAACTCCTTCAGCACATCCATTTTTAATGTATCCCAGTGAGTTACACAGTTTATCGCACAAAAGCCAGCTCTCTTCCCTGATTACAACAAACACAAGAGTAGGTTGACTGTCTAGACAAGAGGCAGAATTTGTTCCTTATGTTTAGTGCTAAGCTTGACTGATTATCCTGAATTCAAGTACTGTATTTGGAAAGGCAGTTTGGAGAGAGTCTGAACTCAAGTTATCTGACTGCTTTTGCTTAACACCTCACTTGAATCTCAAGGGGCAAATGTTTTCAATTCTCAGGAACAAGGGACTGGGTTGGTTGCTCGTACTGATAACTTAAAAATGGTAGTAAACGTGGAAAAACTGCTTGAATAGCGTAATAGGAAAAGGTAAATGAACAAAACTTTGTTTCAGATTAAACTGAAAAGAACCTAAATGCTAATAAGGGAGCGAAGACTCCGTCCCTGTCAGCCTCTGGTTTCCGCTCTCATTGTGTGAACGGCTGAAAATGGGCCATCAGAAGCCGTGTGGCCAGATTTATGCAGATGTTTCAGGAGACAGCTTAAAGAGGGTCTCAACATGGACAGCTTGCTCTGATAAGCTCTCAAAATAAATTGGAAGTAAAAGGAATTTTAAGCTACTGTGTAATATCAGAAACAACCAGCCCATGCTACACCCTCGGGGACAACTAGTAGAGCCCTGGATCCTCTCAAGACGATGGACTCACCCTGAGGCCCTTATAGCTGTGACTTCCACTGATGCCACTAACCAGAGGTTCCACTCGTGGGCTGAGGACTGAAGTTCTCTCAAGTGATATCTCTTAAGTACCTGCCTTGTGCCAGCTGTGCTGTAGGCCTTGACTTGAATAAATTCATGCTTCTACAAGTTTACAGATTGCTGGCAGAGGCATCGAGTTACTAGGTAATAAAATGCTCTGTGATAAGCTATAAGATAAGGATGGGGCAGGGTACAACAGAAAACACAGGGATGACAGGTAACCAGTGTTGGTGAGTCAGGAAAGGCTTCTCAGCTAACATGATGTCTAAGCTGAGATCTAAAGGCAGAGGGCACCATGATTAGGTGGGGTGGAGGGTATGTACACAGGAAAAGAGGGGACTGCAAGGAGAGGGAGGTTGCCAGAGGTGTTGCATTCAAAGAGCATGATACACGCAACAGCCAACAGCTTTGAAACGGGAAATATCCACCAATGCCCTCCTGGGTTCTACACCACTGCAACAGGGCTATTACCATCTTTCTGAGCTGTGTGCATGACAAAAAGAAGTATAGAAATAAGTAGAAATGGAGAGATATTAGACCTGTCTTCTCCTGCCATGTCTCCCCCCTCCCCTAGTCTTCCAAGCTCAACCCAGAAACCTCTGTGCTTCAGGTGCATTTTACAGACCCAATCTGAGATGCTCTCTAGAAAAAGGCATTATATATTTTCCGTGACACTCACTTTGCACTTAGATTACAGTTTTTACATACGTTCACCTTGTTTCACATCTCCCAAATAAAATTAAATTTCATGGGTGTTTAGACACACAGACACCCTTCTAGATCTTAGTAGCTGTCAAAAGAAGGTTTTATACAACCAGGCCCTGGCACTCACTTGGCTGACAATGATGGTTAGGAACATTCTGATTTCAGAGATGTTACACTGGGAAAAAGTGTGTACCTGTGTCATGAAGTAGTGTAATAAGAGTGATGAAACTGATACTGCCAGTGATTTTGACAACCTCTCCTTTTTCTGGAAAAGCAGCACACTTACGCACTATGGGAAAGCAGATGACCACATCCAATTTAGAGATTAGTGTGGAAAAGTCTATCAAAGGCCCTTTACTCAAAAATTCCTCTTGTGAGATTTTTCCAAAAGAAAAAACAGAAATATGTAAAGACAGTAACAATTCCCAACAGTTAACTTATTAGTAATACTTATGCT